CAGTAAGCCTCAGACTTAAGTCCAGTCTTAACGACAACATGTACCGGTACCTAACGAACAAACGTTTACTGATGCTTTTGGCGTTGTTTGTTTTTATCAGCACTACATTTGATCTAGTCAGTGCTCTAAGTCCGCCTTGTACATCAGTAGGTAAGTAACGGGTGTAGAGTATGTTCTAAGTAGTAGGGGAATGGATTGTCAAGAAAGATTGTCAACTCAATAATTTCTAATGACTTTTTTATATATAACCTGTGGTCCATACTATGGATAACGATGTATTTATATTGATGCTGTAAAATGAAAAGAAGAAAACACTTAACGAAAACACTTAACAAGGAGTTAAACAAAAGAGGACAGCTAGCCCTGCAATAGATTTGTTCAAGTATTTAAATGGAAAATTCACTGAAATTTTTGAAGATTAACTTATTCACCCAGTTCAACAAGAGGTTTAGAAGATAATCCATTATCAATATAATAATATCAATAATAATTTTAACTGTATTAATTACGATAATGATAATAATAATAATAATAATAATAATAGTAATAATAATAATAATAATAATAATAATAATAATAATAGTAATAATAATAATAATAATAATAATAATAATAATAATAAAAATAATCATAATTGTAATTCGATTATTTTATCGATGGTCGTCATTGTATTTTACTTGTAAATTGTTATATTTTCTATAGTGACTGTTTTGTTTGTTTTTATATTTGTTTTACATTTTTTAACATAATTTGTTATGACGAGCAGAAGAATTTCCCTTGTGGAACAATAAAGTTATCTTATCTTATCTTATCTTATCTTAAGTCATGTCATTTTATTTTTTAAATGTTGTAATAGCCATATTTTATGTTTTCTACTGCATTGGAGTCTGTCTGCATTAGGTAAAGAAATCTAAGATTGAAAAATGAATACCTCAGTAAAATATGGTATCGTCCATTGTACATTGATTACAACCTGAAGTCTACTTTTCCGGTTTGTTTCCGCTTGTCGAACCAATTCATGACATTGTAAATAGGTGGCTCGTTTTGGTATTTTGGTTTATTTATTTGTTTTAAAATGAAAAGAAAATATTTATAACAATTATTACGATAACTAGTTTATGTATGAAATGTATCGTCGCCATCGTCATCAGCATTGATCTTCATCACAATCATCATAACCGGTATCTTCATCATAATCAATATTATAATCATCGTCATCATCATTTTTATTATTGTTTTGGTATATCATTACTAAAAATATATGATATGAGTGTTTTAATTTTTCCTTTTGATTTTCAGGATTATGTCCATTGCCAAGTGGTCTAACAGGAAGCGGGTTGGAAAATGGTGTTGTAAATCCATGGCCGCCGGCCAAGGACACTGGCACGTCAGAGCCGTGTCTTCCTTTGGGAAAGGATAAGATAAGTTTTAAATGCGATGATGGATTTCGTTTGCAGACAAGCAAAATAGAATTATTTTGTGACCTGCTTTTTGATTGGAACCTAAATGCGCCAACCTGTGTTGAAAATGTCCCAGCCACAGGCCTGCCTGCTGCAACAGAGGCACAGCTACCACCATGTGCCAAGTGTTCAGGTAAGTAGAGTTCAAAATTGAGGGCGCATGCACACTACTTAAACTAGTGTTCCTAATTTAAACTAGCTATGTGATTTGAAATTATGTCTCAATATGTAAACTTAGTAGGCCTACTCTAGTAGTTGTTGTTTTTTGTTCTACAAACTCTATATTTCGTATCGTACGCTATTATTGCCCTATTGAACTTGGTATATTTCTGGTAGATGCTTTATTGTCCGATTTGTCCTTGCTCTATATTTTAGTTAAGTTATTTTATTTATTCTACTTCGAACTATTTCCCTCAAAAGACACAATGCGTTTGATCAGATAGACAGTATCTGAAAGAAAGGGTTGATCAAACATTATCGGACAGACAAAATGATGAGTATTGTAGGCTTAAATAGTCTGTGAACGCGTATAAATTTACGTGTTTTTTAAGCGTAGGCCAATGAAAATGCGAGAAGAGATCTTTATAGCTGGATATAGGCATAAGTTTCACTGTCTGTATTGAGATATACTGTAATCATAAATTTGTATCACTGAAATAGACCATGACGGTATAAAATTTCTTTTTTTTTTATGCCTCAGTGCATAAAATAGACCAGCGTTTTAAATTTGAGTTATCTTTGTGATTTGAAACGATTTTCTTTCTTCGCTGAATTTAGATGAAACATTAATGATGGTCATCATTATTATGTCCGTACTGCTATGCATAAGCTGGCTCATAATCATTGTGATTTTCATCTGCAAAAGAGAGTATGTACATTCCTCTATTGTTTTTATCATTATCATCTTCATCATTTTCATTATTATTATTATTATTATTATTTATGATAAATATTATATATAATTACAACATATTCCTATTTGAGCACAACATATTCATATTCGAATATTGTATATAATTATAACATATTTCTATTCGTATATATTTGTTCATACGGTGCTACGCAGCAAATTTGAATTGAATATTATTTACTAAGATTGCCCAACTGCGACCTATAAGCTTTTCTAGTTTAACCACAGCTTCACTATGTGTGAGCGTTTCTCAGTTGTATGAGAGAAAGTGCCTCGGATATATATATATATGTATATGTATATATATAATATATAGGCCTATATATTATACATATATATTAAATATATATACTATCATTGAAAAATATTAATAAATCATCTAATATTTGACTTTGAAAAAACTCTGGTTCTCTTTAGTGCTCTAGCTGTTGGAAATACACGTGAAACCGTCATCGTTGACGGCGACAATCGACCGACGTATGTATAATCATACCTGTATCATTATTATCCTCAGTGTACAAATAATGACGGACATAACAATAATGTCTATTCCTATTACTAAAAATATATCATTATAATCACATACTGTGCTTAGCTTATTATTGTAATATATCAACCGAGATCCAGCCACTGCTTCCCAAAATGTTATTGTTTTCCTTGTTTTTCTATACAGGAAACAGTCTTACGGATGCCTTATTATTATCATCTGATTTATCTGGCTACTTTTATTTTTTATTTTTTATTATTTATTTTATTATATAATTTGTTATTTTTCTGTTTTTCATTTCTCTTTTTTTCCTTTTTATCTTATGACTTAATTTGGTTTGACGTTAAATTTTACTATATTTTCGTAATGAAAAGATTCCTTGCTTTTGCAATATTTTGCATATTATATTTTTAGCTATATTAATTGTATTTATAGTAATGTTGGTATTAATGCTTTATATTATTTTTACATTCTGATTTTGATCTAAAATTTGTTTTGTTACATTTTGATGGTCCCTAATGATCAGCTTCTGTTGGATAGATTACCGTCATTAAATATGATTCAAATAAAAATCTTAAAAAATTAAATAAATCTAACATTGAAGTAAAATAATTTGAATACAAATTTTTTAAGTGTTAACCATTAATATTTGTTCTCTTTTAAAGTGCTCCAGTGGTCGGACATACAATACGCGAACCGGTCTTGGTACACGGAGAACGTCGACCAATGATTACTCAAGGTTCAAATATTAACACATTACAACTGAATGAGAGACCCCCGATGCCAGAGCCTAGAACGGATGCCATAGAGCAAAGAGAACGCGATTATGATTACGTAGACAGGAACAAATTAAAGCAAAATGGAGAAGCTGACTACCTTGAACTTGAGAAGTAAAGATATGCAAAATGAAAGTAGGCCTACCTCTAGAACATACACAGTGGCGGATCCAGGGGGCTGGGATGAATCCCCCTCTGTGATGAAACGTACAAAATACTGTAGTTGGCGGATTCAACAATGAGGCCCGGCTACTTTTATGTTCAAACTTAAATATGAGAGTGCCATTTCCGGCCATTTGCCATAAATCCTCCATTTGTGCCCCTCCCCCCCCCCATCTCTTTGAATTCCTGTCTCCACCACTGTACTTTACTGGATCCTGGCCTACAAAAGGTAGGCATGTGCCAAACTACCTATGTAGGCAGATCGGACAGACTATGCCTACTTAACCTATAATTAAATAAAATTAAAAACACTGTTTTGGTTCGACCATAATGTATTATTATTCCTAATGGGTGATACGGAATCAAACCATTTGATTCAGCAAGGTCTTCCGTTTAAGATATTTGAATAAAATAATTTTTTTCTGCATGTATACACACACACACACACACACACACACACACACACACGCATTTAAATAGGCCTACTTACTGTATAAGAATGAGATAAAATCACATGACCTTTTTGAAAAAGAGTGAAGTCTTGAATTTTGAAGAAATTAAAAGTCATTGTAAAAATGTTGAACACCATTGCTTCAAATCCAGGATCAGCCCCCGTGGCTATGAATGTATATACAATTGTGAAACTGTAATGGCTAATAGAAAAACTCGCATCTTCTTTCGCTAATGTCGCTATAGCTTCATTCAGTTACCTAATGTACCTTACTGGTCATGTACGATCAAATTGCAGAATTCTCTTTTAATGGAGAAATTCCAAATTAAATGACATGCATTCGCCAGAACAAATTAATCAAAATGCCACAATATTCATCCTACTACTTTTAGTAAGGGATCATTTACTAAATGAGATCAGAGATTAAATTAAACTATCATATTATTGTAACGTTGAAGAGAAAAGAGGCGTATGTGTATAATTAGTTTATTAAGTTAAAGTTTTATTTTAATTATGAAATATTTTTTTGCTAAACATCTGACACAGTATTCAACTCATGGTTTCGACGATTATGGAATAAATTGCTAAAAGATTTCACAGGTAATTTCCCCTTTTGGTTACGTTTACTGCAGGTTATTTTAGTATACTATATATTATATAATACCACTTTACTAATTATATTCAACTTTTATATAAACTTAAATGAGATAATCATTATTTAATATGTATATAGCTAAACAATTAGGTGAAATTTATATTTTAATTGAATATTTTTGAGGACTTTTGGTTTGTCTTGTGGGCCTATTTATTTATGTTAACTAAAAATATTGAACAATATACTGTACTGACGAACTGTTATAAGCATTGCATTCTGTATACAATGTCTAATATAATGTAGGCTCAGCTTTAAACAAGGCGAAGCAATTTATCAAGCTGGCATAAGTAGCAAAAATCTACTTTTAATTTCTTATAGACCTAAGTAGGTCCTTGTAATTTGATAGGTGTATTTAATATCACTTGACAATGGGTATTTTCACCAATTATTGGCCGGCAAAATAATATATTGTCATAATTTATAATAAATTAGGCTATATTATCATAATTTTGTCCTATTTACTGTAGTTATGTATGTACAGTAGGTAGGAATGTGCTATTAATTTTCTTGAGACAGTCTGGAGAGTTGCCCACAAAAGAATGAATATGTCATCATCAGTAATTACATCTGGTGTTTCGTTTTTACTCATGAATTTTGTTGTTAGGTTTTATTTTGTTGTTACGTTGTATCTCTGAAAGCATATGAATGATGATGTAATATAATACAGTGTGCAGTCACTCACAATGTGCAAAAAACAACAGTTCAATCCGTTGCGATTATTCCTTAATACAGTGCCCATAGGACACACAAATACATTGAAAGACCAAAGTATTATTATTCATATAGTCTTTTAATAAAATTACAGTAAAATTTGAGTCGTTCGATAGCTCTTCGAATAAATAAATTGTATTGAATTTTATTAATTAACATTGAGGATGAAGTTTACATTTATTATATTTATTTATTCGAACATACACCTTTGTATCGGTGGCACTCAATAATAATTGGTGCGTTCACAAAAACATATCAAAGCAGAATACAAATACAATATGAATTAACAGAGTGTAAATAAATTAACATCTGTATTACGTATGATAATAGGTAGGTCTACCTAAATAAGAATAAGGTGCAAATTACATAAATTAAGAAAATACAACATAAAATACATACAGGACTAAATAAATTAGTTGGCCTATCTGTATTACGTGCAGTATGTAGGCCTACCAAAATTTTGAATAATGTGTAACTTAACTATTTATAAAGAAAATACAACATAAGATAAATACAGGAACAGAATTAAGTTTGCCCCACCGTACATTATATTTCACTCCACACAAAAAGGCCCACAGATTAGAAGTAATCTTCCAACAGCTGGGTACCATGATTCCTATGAATATGAAATCATACTTGCAAGATCAAACGACACACGCTTGTAACCTTCTATAAAAGTAAAAATATTTTTAATTGTATTAGTTAACGCGGTAAAAGAGCATGTGGTTAGTGACGTCATGGCGATGATATATACCAAGCGCACACAGTTCATTCGAATCTTGTATTTACGACAAGATGTACCTAAAAAGCAAAATATGGTCGAGCTTTCTAACAATGACCGTTTTTATCAACACTGCATCTGATTTAGTCCGAGCCGCATCCTCTTGCAAATCCTTAGGTAAGTATCTAATGTCGGGAATTTTTTAAGTACGGTAATGTTTTAGGGGCCGGGTCAAAGTTGACCGCGGCAATGGAGGATTGTGAGCAAACTCTTAATAATCTTGTTTAAGACTCCGAAAAATGATTAGAATGAAGTGGCTGGCATGACAAAATAATTAGGAATATATATATATATGGGTATGTGGGTAAAATCTGAGACAACTAAACTTGTATAGTTGTCTCAGGTAAAATTAAGAGTGATTTTATGATGGTTTTATTAACATTCCTCAGCCAATTTAATTGCAATGAGTTTAGCAACTCATGGTCACCATAAGTCATTTAATAACAGTATAAGTATATAGTGTGCTCTAAAGATATGCAAATATCGCATCGTATATTGTACCCCTTTAAAAAGTAATCCATTTGATTAAGTGACAAAAACTTACATTGTGTTCTGTTTACACTCTTCGGTTGATCGACTAATTATTTAGATGACAATGAATAGGTGCTTTGTATATTGGTATTTAGATTTAATCTGTTTTAGAAATGGATACTAAATATATTAGAAATAAAAACTGCCAAGTAGTCACTCAATCGCGACAGTATTTTTGTCAATAATATATTATTACATTTATCATTATTATAATTTCTATTTTTAGTGCAAAATTAATAAGAAATTTTTACACAAAAGTTGAAAATATTTAACTGTTTATATAAAAGTTAAGACCATTGTTTTAGAAATGATGTTTGATGGTGTCATTATTATTATATTTTTTGGTATTTTTTAGGATTATGTCCATTGCCCAAAGGACTCAAAAGCACCGGACTGGAGAATGGTGTTGTAGATCCATGGCCCCCAGCCAGGAACACTGACACGCCAGAGCGTTGCCTACCGATGGGAAAACACAAGATGAGGTTTACATGCAATCAGGGTTATCGTTTGCAGACAACAGAAATAGAAACATTTTGTAATGATATGTATAAATGGAACCAAGAAGCGCCAACTTGCGTTGGAGATGTCATAAACGCTTCCACCGAACGCCAGCACTTTATGCCCCCACCACCTTGTGCCGAGTGCGCAGGTAACTGCTTTTTAAAATAAAGGGCGGACAAATTGTATGTTGTTATTTTAGATTCAATGATGTTTTATATGTAGAGACAAATAACATTCTGATGTTGTTGTCATAGCTTCGTCTGTCAGACACAAAAACTACCGTATGTTGGATCAGAACTTGACGAAGTGAAGCATTGTTCGAGACTTAACAACAGACAGAAAGGCATGATTGTTTGATCAAACATGTCTGAAATGAATATAAAGAGTAAAGATAGTGCAGTGTGCATGGGTGTATTAAGGCTTGGGGGAAAATTGTTGTTATTATATATTAGTGATGTTCAACAAATTTTTTTTTAATTTATTTTAGGAGGATCGTTGATGATAGTAATTTTTGTCCTCTCGTTACTGCTGTTGTTAAGCTGGCTGGTTTTTATTTTGGTTTTCATCTACAGAAGAAAGTATGTATAAATAATTAATATTCATTATTATTTTTTATTATTATTATTAATTATACGGTATATATA